AACCAAGGACATTGAGGACGTGTTTTATAAATACGGCGCTATCCGCGACATCGATCTCAAGAATCGCCGCGGGGGACCGCCCTTCGCCTTCGTAGAGTTCGAGGACCCGCGGTAAGGCAGCATGGGACTTGCGGCCTTGGAGAAATAGGTTGGGGTAGTTGGGGAAGGCTCCGAGGCCTTAACATAATAGGGGAGGAGGGGCTCTTGGGAGAGGTTGGGGCGAGGCGGTGTCCTCCCGGAAGGAGGCGAGCCCATTTGGCGTTTCTGTGGAACAGGCGCCCTGGACGTCCCGGAGCCCACGCGCGGGCCCGGAGCGGGAAACTGAGGCGAGGAGGGCCTGTGTAGTGGTCTTGAGCCCGGCGCTTTGCTGGGTGGTGGGGGAGGGGCCGCTCCTATTATGCAGCGCATGTGGGCTCAGCGCCAGGGTGCGCATGTGCGGGGCTCAGCGCGTCGAGACCGAGTGAGCTGCTACTGCAGATCTCCCCTTCTCATTCTTTTGGTTTCTGTGATCACGCAGAGACGCGGAAGACGCGGTGTACGGTCGCGACGGCTACGATTACGATGGATATCGTCTGCGGGTGGAGTTTCCTCGAAGCGGCCGTGGTACAGGCCGAGGCGGCGGCGGGGGTGGAGGTGGTGGAGCCCCCCGAGGCCGCTATGGCCCCCCATCCCGGCGGTCTGAAAACAGAGTGGTTGTCTCTGGTGAGTTTGTACTGTCCAAGTGGGTTGAGAGTCAAACATGACTTAAAATTTTTACTTCCCTGACGGATTTGACAGTTGCAGGTTTTTTGTTCTAGGCCTGTAGGTTTTGGGTGCGTTTAGTAAGTAAATATTACCCAAATCATGTTGTACTACTAGAATATGAAGATCTTTTACAAATAAATTTGCACTCTGGGTCTCAGAATCTTACCAGCTGTTTACCTGGATCCACTTGTATACAGTCATAATTAAGAATCTTAAAATGACTTTTGTTCTAGTGTATAATTAACGTGAAGTTTACGATAATTGATATTAAGAGGGGAAAAAAAAATCTTTTCAGGACTTCCTCCAAGTGGAAGCTGGCAGGATTTAAAGGATCACATGCGTGAAGCAGGTGATGTATGTTATGCTGATGTTTACCGAGATGGCACTGGTGTCGTGGAGTTTGTACGGAAAGAAGATATGACCTATGCGGTTCGAAAACTGGATAACACTAAATTTAGATCTCATGAGGTAGGTTATACACTTATTCTTTTCTTTGGCCAGAATTGGATACAGTGGTCTTAACAGTGGAATTTGAAGGTAAGGATTCAGGCAAGAGTGTCCAAAAGTAAATTGCCAGATACCCGATTGTAGTTACTTTGTATTCATTCAGCATAACTGAAGACAGCTGAAAAGCTTAGATCTTTCAATGGAAAGTTCTGTCTATCCAATAGGGAGAAACTGCCTACATCCGGGTTAAAGTTGATGGGCCCAGAAGTCCAAGTTATGGAAGATCTCGATCTCGAAGCCGTAGTCGTAGCAGAAGCCGTAGCAGAAGCAACAGCAGGAGTCGCAGTTACTCCCCAAGGAGAAGCAGAGGATCACCACGCTATTCTCCCCGTCATAGCAGATCTCGCTCTCGTACATAAGATGTTTGGTGACACTTTTTGTAGAACCCATGTTGTATACAGTTTTCCTTTATTCAGTACAATCTTTTCATTTTTTAATTCAAACTGTTTTGTTCAGAATGGGCTGAAGTGTTGAATTGCATTCTTGTGTAATATCCCCTTGCTTCTAACATCTACATTCCCCTCATGTCTTTGATAAATTGTATTTTAAGTGATGTCATAGACAGGATTGTTTCAATTTAGTTAACTCTCCGTGCCTTCAGACTGTGATATTGTGTAAAT